AAGAGTTGATATAACTATGACAACAAGCGTCAATACCTAATTGATAACTGGTCAACGAATATGAACAGGTAGTTCTCACATAAATGCAAACTATTAACAATTATATAAGAAAAATGCTCCAAATCATTACTAATTAGAGAAATATAAGTTAAAACAATTCTGATGCCCTACTTGTCAGATTGACAAAGATGGCACAAGAAGAAAATAGTAATTGTGTTTAGAGTTGTGGGAGAAAAAGCAAATTAATTTACTACTGGTAAAACTGTGAATTGATTCAAAATTATGGACAACAATTTATAACAAAACCCCTAAAGTTACTACATAGTTTTAACCCAGAATACTACTATTAGGTACATATCTCAAGGAGATCAAGGATAAAGGGAAAGGACCCATATGTACAATAATATTTATGACCGAACTTCTTGTAGTAGTAAAGAACAAGAAAGAAAATAAGTATCTTTCAGCAAGGAATGTCTTTAGAAAATGTGGTTATAAATGTAATGAATACAAACTCTAAAAAATTGCTGGAGATCAAACTGCAGATAACAGAAAGAAGGCCCTACATTAAGGGTGATCTGGAAAGGATTCTTACAGAAGGTGAGATTTTAGCTGGGACTTGAAGGAAGCCAGGAGGCACAGATGGGGATGGTGAAAATTCTAGTCATGGAGAACAACCAGTGAAAATGTCTGGAGTCTGGAAATGGAGTGTCTTGTGGAAGATGCAGCCAGGAGGCCAGTATCAGTGGATTGCTGAGTATATGGGGGAGCATAAGAGGTAAGAAAACTTGAAAGGTATAAGAGGACCAAGTTATGAAGGACTAAAAGCCAAGTAGAAAATGATATATTTGATCCTGAAAGAGAGAGGGAACCACTGAAGTGTACTGAATGGAGATGAGCAGAATGGTGATGGGGTCAGATTTGCACTTTAGGAAGATCAATTTGTCAGCTGAGTGGAGGATGGATTGTAGCAGGGAGAGACTTAAGATAGGGAGACCAACCAGAAGGCTACGTTAATAGTCTAGGTGTGAGGTGATGAGGGCCTGTACCAGGGTAGTGGTAGTATCAGAGGAGAGAAAGGTGCACATATCAAAGATTTATGAAAGTGAAATCAATAGGATTTGGTAATAGATTGTACATGGGGTGTGAGAAAGAGTAATGAATCAAGGAAGACACTTAATTTTTAAGAAAGCCTGGGAAAACAGTAGTTCCTTCAACACTAATAGAGAAGGTAGGAAGATAAAAAAATTGGGTGGGAGGAAAGATAATGCATTAGGGTTTTTGACATGTTGAATTTAAGATGTCTATGGGACATCCAGCTTGAGATTTTGAATAAGCAACTGTAAATGAACTATCAGTTTTGGAAAGAGGTGTAGGATCAGTGAGTAGATCTGAAATTCATCAGCATAGAGACAATAACTAAATCAATGGAAACTGATGAGATCACTAAGACAAATAGTGTAGAGAGAAAAGGGCCCAAGTTAGAGCCCTGCAGAACATTCATTGTTACCAGGCACGACCTAGACAAAGACCCAGCAAAGGAGAGTACGAAAGAGTGGTCAGATGGGTAGGATGAGAACCAGGACAGAGTATATACTTGGTCCTTTTCAATCTTCTTTATTGCAAAATCATCTATCTCCCATCATCTAAACATGAGTATTATTCCCCAGCACTCTTCCTGATGATTCCCCTCTCTCTTCCCTGATGACCTCAATGGTTTCCAAAGGCTCAAGTATTATCTCTATATTGCTGACTTCTCACTCTTTTCATCCAGCCAAAATCTCTCTTCTAAACTCTACTCCTATATGCTGGACACTACCTGGATATCCCATTACCATCTCAAACTACATAATCAAAAAAGAACTGATTATCTTTGCCCTTAAATTCACCCAACCTCACAAATCTCCTATTTATTTTGTGAACACCATCAACCCCTCAGTCACTCAAGACATAAAATCAGAGTCCTTAATTATTCCCTCTATCTCACTGTCAAATCCAACATTCCCCAATCCTAGGGGTTTTACTTTCACAATATTCCTTGCATCTGTTATCTTCTCTCTATTCCTACATCTACCACGCTAGTTTAGATGTTACCACCTTTGAAAAGGACCACAATAGCTTTCCACTTGTGTTTTTACTTGTGGTCTTTCTTTTTCCAATCTATCTTCCATAGAACTGCCCGAACAACTATCCAAAGCACAGATGTGACCATGCCATTCTCCTGAAAATTACCAAGTTAAGTCATTGTATGCTTTGATAACTTCATGACTTAATACAAATCACTGTCTGACATCTAAATCCTCCACAATATGGCTCTAACAAACCTTTCTTGATTTGTTTCATATTATTCACCTTCATATATGTATAATACATTTCACCCAAAATGGATTACTATCACTGCCTAAATTGGACATTGCTTTGCTCATTTCTGTACTTTCTTAAAGACTGGCTCCCTTGCTTGAAATGCACTGTTTCCTCATGTCTGCTTTTCAATCTTTACCATCCTTCAACACTTAATTCAAATGCCCTTCTGTGAAGCTTGCCTTGATGCCTTCATTTGTTATATTCTCTTCATCTGTAAATCACATTGTATTTGTACTTTTCTATAGGTATGTTTTATTCCTCTGCAAAAAGTAAGCTTTTTTGAAGGTAGGGATTGGTTTTCTTTTTCCTTTGTATCATATACTTATATACACTTGGCAAACCAAGTTGATTAAGTTTCTGAATTCTATCAGCTTTTTTGTTGGAGCAACTATTTTACATTAGTCAATGTCTCTAGCAAATGATAAAGTTAGAGACAATGTCTTCTTTTGTTCATTTCTCATTCTCATTAATGACAGCCTAGATAAACCAAGCTGGCTGAAGTTACTAACAATTGTATATGGTATGCTTGATCCTTTTTTTCCTTAAAACTTCTTCTCCAACTAGTCAGTGGTCTTACTTATACAAAGACAGTTGAAATGATTGCTATGTATATAACTGCTTATTTCCTGTCTAATACAATATAATCAATTTCATTTTTTATGACGATCAATTCCTTCTATATACAACACCTTCTAACTCTTCTTCTTAAAGTATTCATGACATCTTCGGCAGAGGTTTTTGATCAGTCTATAGGCCTTTGGCTTCTTTCATTTCTTGACTAGACATATGTGTACAAAGCACATACTTCCAAACAGTTTTTGGTGCTTCCTATATGTCTACTTTCACACTTAAGTCATGAAGTTATCAAAGCATACAATGACTTAACTTGGTAATTCTTCATAAAAATGCCCTACTTCATTATCCCCTCTGTAATGTATACTGCTGTATAAGCTGCATTTCTCTCTCTTCAAGATGGTCTGTTCGATTATATTCAAAATAAACATAAATAATCAATGAATCAATCATAAAAATGGTACCTATTAAGTGTCTCACACTATGCTAGGCTTTGGGAATACAAATACAAAAAATTGAACAAGTGTAAGATGAGGTGACCAAAGTGTCTTATGAAAACCGTTTTTTGTTGCCTTTGGCCCCATGATGAAATCAACTCCAGACATTCATTCAGCTGCTATCATTCTTTTGTAGTGAGAATGTCAAAATACAAACTGTTCAGAACTTGTTGCTTGCTGATCAGACATTATGTACTAAGAATACTATCAGAAATTAAATTAACAATGGTCTAAAAACTGGTCTGAGTGATTCTTAGAACTACCATGATAATACAACACCTCACTGTGGCATGATTTGATTCACGAAGGTTATTACAACCGGAGTGAAAAGTCAGGGTTTCTACCAGCCTGGAAAGGCTTCATATCTAGACTCAGCACCAGGTTATAAATCTGCCATCTAAGAACCAATCTAACTAAACGCATAGAAGCTCATCACCAGGTCACTGGTTACCAGATGATGACTTTCTTTAGCCAGTGGCTTTGCTGAAAACATATATAAAATGGCACTCGTTCACTTCTGCTTCTACAACGAATACACCAGTGAGCAGTGCAGTGACTGAAAAGGTGTCTGAGGATGACAAGTGAGCAAATTATTTTTAGATAAGAAATAAATTGTTATTTTTGAAATGTTTTAAAAGTATGTACGGTCATTATTAAACTTTGTAGGAGTTCTTAGCAAGATCCTTAGGCTACAGCCTGATAATTTCATAGTAAAAAACTATTCATTCTTGTTCAATTGAGAAGCTTGCATAGCATGTGTGATTCAGAATACACAAATGTATGAACAAGTGTTGTAAATAGAATATCAATTATAAATATTAAATATTTTAAAGAGGCTAACTTATTAAACTGCTAAGTAAAAATATGGTCAGTAGGATACTTACAAGTCATCAAATATCAACAACTGTAACAACATTTTTAGCTATAATATTAAGACAGAAAAACCTCCAAAGAACATTAACCTCTTATTACACAAATGGCAAGAAACTGCAACCTAATTAGCAATGTAGTTTGTATCTATAACATAGATTTGGCACAATTTTTCCTTTTTATCATTAGTTTGTTTTTTCTGGAAAGGTGAGACCTTATCTACATGGTCCTGTTCATTTATGCTCATCTACAAAAGGATTTCATCATGTTATTTTAGTTCTCTACGATAAGGAAAATTGAAAACTGCCACTTCAAAATTAAAAATATAAAAGAAATTAATGATCAGATTCTTTACTAAGGAGTTTTTTTCCCCCCTAGATGTCACTATCCTGACCAACAAAGCAAATAAATCACCCTCTTTCCTTCAAGGTTAAGGAAAAGAAACTTTATTAAGAGAGAAAATATGAGGAAAGGAACATTTCAAACAAAGAAAAAAATTACTTACAATCTCTATTTCCTTCATCTCACTTTCAAATATATCAATAATTTGTCCTGTTTCATTAAAAAGTATAATAACTTATCTTCTTACTCCTCCCCATGTAGTGAGTATTTTATACTAGCTAGTGAGGGAAACTTGTTAGTACTACAAATTTATCTCAAGCTAAACCACAGATTCTATAGTATTAAATATCAACTTACATCTGAAGATGGTGATTCAAGAACAATGCCAAATCCTAAAACGTGATTCTCCTCAGCAGGGATACGTTCAGCTTTTTGGAGAACAGATTGTTCAGAGGTGACTGTTGTCTTTTCATTCTCTATTACACTGGGCTTCTTATTCATAGGAATAGGTTCAGTGATCTTTGGGAGTACTTTTTTCTTTTTATTTCTTTTTCGGGACACAGCTGTTCTCTGGGAGCATAGATGGGAAATTGGGGGCTGTTGTCTGTTTTGACTTCCAACTGCAAACAAACAAACAGAAGTACGGTAAAGGAACCTGCCAATTCATTTTAAAACTTCTAATCACGCTGCCTACTATTTTACAAATTTTATGCTAAAATGAAGCCCTTTCATATCAGGACCTCAAATATGGCCTGGCAACATGGATTAAGGGAATAAAATACAAAATTAACTTAGAGCTGGACACAAAAGCTAATAAAAAAAAATCTGGTGGTCACCTAATACAAGCTCTGGAATGCTGCCAAAGAAAGTTTTAAATGAGATAGGCCATCTAGGAGAAAAACCTTGCTACTAGTTTTCAAGCAAAACATTACAGGTGGAATTTACTAGTACTATATAAGTTACAAGGAAAGAGGCAGTTATGAGGTATTTTAAAAAGCATCATATTTTAAAATATATCTTTATAAATGAGATTTATCTAATACATAAGAGAATCACTCTAGGAATTTAGCTTTAGCATATATTGTTCATACTCTGCAGCAAAAATGCTCAATGCAATGTAATGGAAAGAGCAGTGAATCTGGAATCAAAACAATTGGGTTTGAGTAATAGCTTTGCTATTTACTAGCCATGAGATCATGGGCCAATCACAACTTTCCTGAGCCTCTGTTTCCTCAAAGATAAAATGATGGTAATAATATATGTACAATCCATGTTTTGGGGTTGTCATGAGTATAACAATTTGTAAAACTTCAAGCACTAGCTCTCAGTTATTACTGTTGTTGTTGTTACTGTTACTATCATTATTATGATTATTCCATGAACACTTCAACTGCAGCATTTTGTTTAACTAATCAGTTGCTCTCTGCACAGCTCCATGATTGGTAAAGATACTGAAGTGGTAACTCTATGCTGTTGTACTAGCAGATATGATTTGTAAGTCTGAGCAAAACACTGAGTTTGGAATTATTTTACAATACAAGTGACGTTTGTCACTGAGCATGTAGGCAGAATCTAAATTCAGGACCTGTTACTGACTTATTAGATTCATTCACACATTAACATATTATTTCCTAAGCATCCACCATGTTCATAGCTCTGTCCACATGGTTTCATCTTTCTGCACCTCAGTCTTATGTATCTGGAAAATGGGAACAATGTTTCCATATCTCATGGACTAATAAGTGAATTAATGCAAGCTATAAAACACTCTGAAATTCAAAAATGAAAGACACCACACAAGTAAAACAGTACTAATACTGAATAAATACTTGATGAATTACAGTACAACAACTATAGTCCTTACAAGTTTGCTCTGAAAAAATAATTAAAGTTTGCAACTCGTTTTGGAACCCTTTAATGAAAACTGCCATAAAGACACATCATTATTTATACCATCAAGCATCAAAACATTGCTAAGTGTGACTACTGGGCATGCCTGTAATAAATCCATAAATAAACATAAGATATGAAGTCTAAAGAATTCTTATTAAGCTAAAAGAAACCTGTTATACTTTGTCATTTTTGTCCAATGATCAAAAAATGATTCATCCTCAACATGAGGCATAGAAATAGAAAAATTGCTGACCATGATTATAGTAATGCCTACCTAATTTATCTTGATATTTCTGCTATGTCCACATACATCAAGTGAAATGGGTTACTCAGACAATTATCACAATGGTTAAGAACAGAAATATACAGCAGGAAAGGATCTTAAAAGTCAGAGTCCAATCCCTTCACATTACAGATGATAAAAATGAAGCCCAGAGAGGGGAGGTGACTTGACCACGGTCATACAGAATAAAGTAGCAAAAGAAGCTCAGTGCTCTGACTCCCAGGGTAGCTTTCTTTCCACTGCCCTGCTCTGTCCCTCAGACTGTTCTTGCTTTAGCTGTGGGAATTCTTCACGGACAAATTTTTCTAACTTGAAGTGCTAAGGAATTGTCCAAATTTTGCAGCTCACTTTGCCTCTTTTGATATAGCTTAATCTCCTACCCCCAAACTTAATACTGATTCCTGTCCTTTATCTTTTTCTTGAAATAGAATTAGAACTTTTAAAAACAATATAAATTTAAGTCTAAGAGGCAAAACATCTTTAGCAAATGCATAATACAATATAAAGTTTTAAATTTTTTAAATTAAAGAAAATGGAAACAATTAATTCTGTCTTAGATCTTATAGGATCAGTGGCATTATAAAATCCTGAAGTTCTGGTGTACAGTTTACCATCCTAATCTCTAAAGAATCAAAAAAGAAAACATGGTGACAAGGTGGCATGTCTCCGGCTAGGGTAAAAAAGGTTTTAGGGATTTAAAGAACTATACTGTGTAGCTTGTCATTTCAATAGCAAGGAGTTGAAATATCAAAATCATTGTTATATTTTCATGTGCATGCTTCCTTAAATGAGAATTTTATAAACTAAAATGCAAGTAAAGTGCTTTTTCTGAGGAAAAAATCCTACATGAATTATAAAAGTAATTGTTATTTCTGTATGAACTCTCTACTTCAGGAAACACTAACTATGTACCAGGTTATTGAGATAATTTCCATATATCACTTTAAAGTTTACAGAGCTTTTTCCTCACAAAAGTCCTATGAGGTAGGTAGTACAAATACTACTGTTTTCATTTTATAGAATAGGAAACTGAGGTTTAGGGAGGTTAGGTGACTTGTCCAAAGTCATGCAGCCAGGAAGTGTCAAGGGCAGCATTTAAACCCAATTTTTTAAACTCCTGGTCAAGTCAACTTTCTACCTACCATGCTGTCTCTGCAATTATCATTATGTTATAACTGAACAGATGGAGTAAAATTCTTATCCTTAACCAAAATAAAACAAAATACTCTAAAAATGACCATTTTACTTTTCATAGAGCATGTTACCCATTTAAAGGTAGAATTCAGTACATATGACATTGCGTGCCTAGTATGCTAAACAATAAGCTTCTAGAATCAAATCCACATCACTAAATGTTAGGATTTTATTAAAATTCGCTAACTAGCCAGAAAAAAAAACGTGAAATATCTTACTCTTCTATAAGCAAGCAAAAAAAAATCCTTCCCCAATTGGTACTAAAATTCTAAAATGATAGTAGTACAATACTTTTACATCCTTTTTTTTTCCTTCCATTTTTCATCTTGGGGCTAATATGAGGCTGTTTTTTCCTTGACAAAACAGACATTTCATGACTTGTTGAAAGTCTTTAATTTCTCTATAACTAGTGTAATTCTGTTTTTTTCTAATTGTAAAGAAAGCGAAATATAACTGATGTAGTTAAGAACTAAAATCCTGGGAACTCTAGAATTCCACCACTGATGAGGCTCTATGACCAAATACAAATCTCCCATCTTTTTAATGCCTCAAAGAACTATAACAAAGAGTCACCTCAAAAAAGAATACAGACAAATTAATTTCTCTGAACCATCAGGAACACAATGTCTACCTACTAGATGCCAATGAAATGAGCAATAATTAGAGGAAAGATCAATGAGGCCCAGTATTTTTTCCTCACTTATCTCTTCCTATATGTCTTTGTACCACTGGGAGTCACACTAGAGCCCATGCTTTCTAGGTGGCAGCTACGTACACGTAGCAAAACAAAGGGACTTCTCTATGGGCAGTGTAGACATTCACAGACTACCTGGCATAGAACACTTCTACAGTGGTTTCTGGTACAGTAAAAGTAGAAGAAAATTCCTACACGGGTATAGGTTTTAGATGGCTTCAGATAACCCTCTTGATTTTCAGATATTATGTTAGGTGAAGGAAATATATAAAGCCCTGAACCTAAGCATATCAAGAAGTAATGAGCTAGGCTTCCCCTTCTCTTTCCTTCTTTGAATGAAACTTACTGTTGGTTTGCAACAGTAAACAGACATAACATCACATACATTAGAAGAAATATTCAGAAATTCAATTAAACTAATACTTGTGAAGTAGTTAAAGAATTCAGGATGACATGCAGTGAATAAAGACAAAAGAACATTGTTAGAAAGAAAAAAAGTAATTTTGATATGCTGAAGGAAGAATGGATTACATAGGCAGAAAGAACTAATAAAATTGATAACATGAAGAAACACCATAAGCAAGCAAGGTGGGAGGGATTAATAAAGAAGGCACAATAAACATCTGTTCCTAAAGATGTCAGATGTGCATTAAATGTTGAAAGAACCAGGTTTAAGGCCATTATCTTTGTACCTGCTTGAATCTGCATTAATTTTCTCATGGTCTTGAGTTCTTGAAGAATGGCCTGCAAGGTTGACTGGCAGTTACAAGTACAGCAGTTTGATCCAATTGATGAATTCACTGCTGGAAGTTCTCCTAAGCATGAAAGAAAAACATGACAGACTCCAAATCAAAAAATAAAATTTAAAGAGAGAAAAAAATGTATCTTGACAGGATTCTGATGCATATACTATTATTAAGGAACCATGCCTAAGGAAAATGTACCCAATAATTTTCACAACCTGAATTTTGGGGTCTGATTTTATCCAATTATACAGACTTCCATATTGTAAGATACATGCTGCTTCGTGGTTTGGCAAAGACTGCATGCAAGTATGAACACAATGCAACCTCACAGCAGGCTTCTCTATTGTCAGACTAGTTCATCTAAGATAACAATAGCATAGAAATTCATTATAAACACTCTCACTGTATTATGCATAAAAAGTGACTCTAAGAAAGAATGGACTTGCAAAGAACTGGTAGTTGTATATGCAATAAAGGTTTATATTAAGAATTAAATGAGAATCTAACTACTCAAAAATAGTTTGAATACTAAGAAAAATGCTTCACAATACAAGTAACAGTGGGTAAAATAAAAGCTGAGAGTTTGTTCTAGGATAGGAGAGAATATGGAAGGTCGAGTCATAGCTGTATGGGAGAAAGAATGTAGGTGTATAGTACTCTCTCAACTTGATAAAGGATGTTCTACATTTTTACATATCTTTCCTCCAGCTTTCCTTCACCCATCACTTAATTCCCCTTCATTTCACATATTCCCTTTCTTGATAGGCTACAACTTTGCCCCATAGCCATTGTGGCAAAATTGCACAATTCATTCTACCATGAAAGTCCTTCTGATGTCCCTATTCATACTCACCATTCTCAAAAGCAGAGTATGTAAGAACACCTGGGCCTTTACTGACTGACACCTTACATATTAAATACAATTTAGTTTATATAAATTTTAATCCATGTAGCTTCTCCTGACCAAGAATACATTTAGAAAACTGGCCATAGTAAAACTCCTATATTCTTGAAATGCCTTTTAAATTCTGAGTAGCAGGAAACCTAAGATTCAAAATTGTAGCAAACTGACATGTGAAGACTTAAAAACTACATATGACTTAAACGATATACCTATAAATAGTCAACACCTATCTAATAAAAGTATGTATACAATAAATGCTAAAAAAATATGTTTTGACACTGGTATATTAGAAATTTATGTGTTAACTCCTATTAACTATAACCAAAATTACTAATGTAAATCCACTATCAAGTTTGCAAATTGGAAAATGGGATCTTGCTTTCCAATTATGAAGGAAAGGGCCTACAAACTTCATACATAAGAATATTTTGGGATTTTTTAAAAAAATCATTCTTCATATCAACAGAGTTTGGATCATCTTATAGAAGAATATTCTCAGTCATTTAATATAGTCACTGTCCCTAGGTACTTTCTTTATCAATTTTAGAGGACAAAGGCAACCTTTTCCAACTTATTATAAATCATTTTTTAATTTTAAAGGGAACTGACTTTTTATTTTTATGGAGGAATCTTTAAAGAGCCATCTCCAATCATCTTGGAAGTAAGCCAGCATGTGAATTTGGTACTGGTTTGTATAATAGCTGAAAGAAAGAGAAGATACAAATACAACCTTGCTGTCTCATCAGCAGGTGTCTTTATAGTAGTTTTCTTGCATGTGAACTAGTTACTGAAGATTATAGAAACATCATAAAAATGTTTAAATAGCAAGAACAGATTAAGGTTTTCTTTTTCATGAAGGATACTAAAAAGCCAGGTACAAAACCTGAATTTAGCAAAATAAAACACAAAAGGAAAAATATCTTTGGGACCTTTATTCTCTAAAGAAACTGAAAATGCACTTTCCTTTCAAATATATTCTTATTTGTCTTCTTCCTGTACAAATTAAGGCTTCAACAATGTATAATTTATATAAAGGAAAACAGGAAATATATCAATGGATGGGATGTCAAAATGTGAAGAAATACTAGTTATTATTTCCCATATACATTCTTTCAAAACTTCCCATGAAAAAAACTGACACTGTAATTATGTGAATTTTCCTTTAAGTGAATTATTTTCAATGCTAATGAAGCTAAGCTGTAAAAAATTCATAGCTGATGGCTAAGATTAAAGCTGTGGTGCCACTTTGGATCAAGGGTTATAAAGTCCTTTTCTTGGCTATGAATTCAGTATCACTGGCACACTCTACGCTGATGTTACAGAAAAATAAAGGAGTAAGCAAAAGGAAATATAAATACATCACTTCACTAGGAAGCCTCTTTTGAGAGCAAAGGTCAATTTTCTATCATGCATGTGAAGGAATGGTTTCCGACTTTGCTCACTCTGCTCCCTATGCCTGGAATGTGCCTTTTAGCCCATGGAATTCCTACTCATCCATTCTCTAAATGCTACCTACCCCATGAAGTCTTCCTGAACACACCCACTTACACACCTCCATCAGAAATCACTTAACTCTTTGGATCTTGCATATAGTGTTTTACTTTGTACTTCTCTAATACCCTTTACTTATATTACAGGAGAGAGAGAGAGAGAGAGAGAGAGAGAGAGACAGACAGACAGACAGACAGACAGACAGACAGACAGACAGACAGACAGATACCTCCTACAGACTAGAAGGTTTACACCCTTTAGGTGTTAATAAATGTTTTTCAGATTAGAATCATGAATAGCTTAATTTCTTAAGATAGTACCTCTACTTGTAACATAGTTTGGTCAAGTAAACAATGCCTAATTCTTAAAGTGAGTTAAAAATATGATTAAGGGTTTACCCTACTGAACCCAAACAAATAAACCACATAGAACATAAAGCTTAACAATGAAAATCAGAACATAAATTAGGATCATACCATTGGATCCTCCAGTAGTTTTGGACTGAGTCTGGAAAGTTTTTGATCGGGTTCCATACTGGCCTGAGAATTGGCCAAGTTGGGATGGCAACTCATTCCATGTACCACTGGGGGAAGGATGGAGGCTCTGTGAGACCTCAGTGGAAGAATTCAAACTTTGAGCCCAGACTAAGTCTAAATCCTGAGGTTCTTCCTTTAGTTTTTCTCCTTCTTTGCCAACACGCTGATAGATCCTTCCAGTGCTGTCATTCAGTAATCTTCTCATCCCTGTAATTTGTTTTTTAATTTCCATGCTTTCATCTCCTAATGAAAACAGAGCCAGAGTTATCACTGCAAATTAGAAAAAAGAAAGCACTCCCTCTGCCTCCCCCCACACATGAAATTACTGATTTCTGATGCTAGTTACAGTGATACAAATAATGCATAAAATAAACCTACTAACTTCATCCTAGCTATACGAGAAAGAGACTGATTTTTCTCATGGTAAAGGGTTTCCTGAACTTGCTTTATCTCATCAATATTTTCCAAGTCCTTTGTAAGAAAGCACCTTGTTTTCTGCTAAGTAAGCATAAGGTTGAAGAATATGGAGAGAGTGGGCAGCATAATAAAAGCCTTCCAATCACACCATAGCCACTCATTTGCTTTCTAACCCTAGCTAGGTCACTTCACTACTTTATACATATAGACAATACTAACCAGGCTTCCTGTTCCATCCTTACCCACCCCCTAGCAAGTGTCTGGAGAAAGAGTTCATAATCATTAGGAGGTAATATTTTTTTGGATAAGAACTGCATCATTTGTAATGTTTTATGAAGTGCTTGGATCAGTAACACTTCTGTTAACAAAAATGTGTTCTACACTTTCATCGTAAAAAATCTTAACAATCTGTAAGTTCCTGGGGATCATAGACTTAGAATTGGAAGGGACCAACATTTTACTGGTGAAGAAATTGAGGCCCAGAGAGATCAACTGACTGGTTGACCATCACACTGGTAGCAAACAGCAGAACTAGCTGCTCTGACAGCACATACAAAACTCTTTCTACTCTATCACACTGGCAGGGACTACATCATATTTTGTATTTTCTCCTAATAACTAGCAAAGAAAACCATACATTGTAGAGGGTAATTAATAAATATTATTTAATGAATTGGTAAATGAGATAGAAATAATAAAGAACACACTGGGATTGATTTAAAAAATGAGATTCCTCCTTAAGAAACCTTAAGGTCACTCTCTTCTTTCCCTTACCCACAGCACCAAGGGTTGTTTCCCTAGATAAGGACAAAGAGGCCTCTCTTAAGACAGCTTCCCACCCACTGGACCTGTGTTTTAGGAATATCACTTCAGTGTCTGAATAGAGGATGGGCTGGAGTAGGGAGAGAACTGAGACAGACAGACCCACCAACAGGCTATTGCAATAATCCAGGTGTGAGGTAATGAAAGCCTACAGTATAGTGGTAGCCATGTCAGAGAAGAAACTCAAGTATACTTGAGAGATGTTGCGAAGATGAAATCAACAGACCTCAACAACAGTTTGGATATGGGGAGTGAGAGATAGTGAAGAATCCAGGATGATTCCTATGCTACAAGCCTGAGGGATTGGGAAGATGGTGTTGCCTTCCACATGACAGGGTAAGTGTAAGAAAGGCTGTGCAGAGGATTTATAGGGAAAGATAATGAGTTCTGTTTTGGACATATTAAGTTTAAGATTTGTAGTGGACATCCAGTTAGAAATTCTGAAAGGCAAGCTAGAGATGCAATACTGGCAGTCAGAAGAGAAACTGGCACAGAAAGGTAGATTTCAGAATCAGCAGCGTACAGATGGTAATTTAACTCATAGGAGCTGATGAGATAACCAAGTGACATAGCATGGTGGAAGAAGAGAAGAGGACCCGGAGGGACACCAATGATTAGAAGGTGCGATCTAGAGGAGCAAAGAAGACAAAGAGGAAGCAGTCAGATAGGAATGAAGACAACCAAAAGAGACTGGTGTCCCCAAAACCTAGACAGAACAGAGTATCGAAGAAAGTGATCAATAGTGTTAAAGGCTGCAGAAAGGTCAAGGTGAATAAGGATCAAGAAAAGGTATTAGATTTAGCAACTAAGCGATCATCACTAACTTTGGCGAGAACAGTTTAGTGGAATAATAAGGTCAGAAGCCAGACTGTAAGGAGTTAAGAAAATGTGAGAGGAGAGAAAGTAAAGGTACCTATTGCAGCTCACCTTTTCAAGTTTAAGAAATATAGGACTATAGTGAGGATTGATTAAGCAAGAGTTTCTTTTCAGGATGGGGATACATGGCATGTTTGCAGGCAGTAGGAAATGAGCTGATACAAAGGGAGAGACTGAAAATAAATGAAAGATTCCCAATTGATAATGGTCAAAGGATATGAACAGGCAGTTCCCAGATGAAGAAATTAAAGCCATCTATAGTGATATGAAAAAATGCTCTAAATCCCTATTGTTAAGAGAAATGCAAATCAAAACAGCTTTGAGGTACCATATCATACCTATCAGGTTGGCTAACATGACAAAACATGAAGACAATAAATGTTGGAGAAGATGTGGGAAAACTGAAACATTAATGAATTGTTGGTGGAGTTGTGAATTGATCCAACCATTTTGAAGAGCAATTTGGAACTGTGCCCAAAGGGCTATAAAAATGTGCACACTCTGACCCAGCAATACCTCTTCTAGGTCAGTATCCCAAAGAGATCATACAAATGGGGAAAGGACCCACATGTACAAAAATATTTATAGCAGCTCTTTCTATGGTGGCAAAGAATTGGAAATTGAGAGGATGCCCATCAGTTGGGGAATGGCTGAACAAGTTGTGGTATATGAATGTAATGGAATGCTATTGTGCTATAAGAAATGATGAGCAAGCAGACTTCAGAAAAACCTGGAAAGAGTTGTATGGACTGATGCTGAGTGACATGAACAGAACTAGGAGAACATTGTACACACTAACAGCCATGTCGTGTGATGACTAACTTTGATAGACTTACCTCTTCTCAGCAATGCAAGGATCTAAGACATCTCCAAAAGTCTCACGATGGAAAATGCTATCCATATCCAGAGAAAGAACTATGAAGTTTGAATATGGATTAAAGCATATAATTTGCTCTTTTTTTTCTTGTTTTGTTTCTTCTTTCTTGTGGTTCTCCTATTGGTTCTAATTCTTTTTTACAACATGACTAATGTGAAAATATATAGAGCCTATGCACATTGTCTTGCGGAGGGAGGTAGAGAATGAAGGGGAGAATATTTAAAACTCAAAAGCTTATGGAACTGAATGCTGAAAACTAAAAATAAATTAATAAAATTTTTTAAAAAAAGGAAATAAGTGAAAGATGTGGGGATGAGAGAGGGGGCAATCCGACAGAGATGTGATGGAATGGGATTTCTTGAACAAGAAGAGGGGTTAGCCTTGGTAAGGAGTAAGGCCACTTAAAGATGAAGGAGGAGATAGTGGAGGAAGGCACCTGCTGAGTGATAGGAAATAAGGAAGAGGGCAATGAAGGAGATTATGAGGGAGGCCATGATAAATGGCCTTATTTTTTTCCTGAAAATGTGAGGCAAGGTTTTCAGTTGAGAGAGTGAAGGGAAGGGGAGTCATAGAAGGTCTGAGGAAGGACTGAAGAGCTGCTGTGGAGAGTGGAATAGTGAGTAGATAAGAGAGGTATTATAGGACTTCCTTGAAGCAGTGAGGGCCCACTTGAGATTATGTAACATAAATTTATAGTGATCCAATCACAACAGTTGCATGATTTTCCCCACCTTCATTCGGCAGCACTTGTGTAGGAGTGAATAGTGGGAGTGATCCAAGCTGAGGCTTGGCTGGATACAAATGGCCATACGATAAGGGGGCTAGGGATTCAAAACAGGAGGATAAAGGTGAACTGGTTCACCAAGGAGTCAAGATGGGGAGAAGAGGAGAGAGTGGCTAATGTAAGGGTGATCGCCTAGGAGAGAACTGAGGGGTCAAGGGATTAGAAGTCAAGGTACAGATAAAGAATAGGGTTATATAAGGGAAGGCAGAGTGGGAGGTGAAAAGCCAACAGATTATGTTCAGATGAAAGGATTTTAGAATATTTGAACATGGAAAAACTACAGGTTCCCAAATCTTAGGTGACTGATTCATTCAAACTTCTGAAGTACTGCTTTCCCCTCAGCCTAGTCTGGCCCCTGACCCAAACTTCAGGGCTTACTCTTTCTCAATTACATTGCAACTAGCAAGGAAATGAGAATTTCTCTCAACCATCTTCTTACCCAAATCAATTTTGTTAAGAGAAGCTTTGTACTCAAAGGATTTTTAAATGTGGTATTAGTCTGCTATACATTCCCTACAGGCAATTACAAAACGCTATTTGATGTTATTATGAAGCACCATGCAATTATAAAGTATTTTAAAGAAATGATGACACCATTAGGGAATGCTAACCCCTATTGAGAGCTATTTAATAGAATCATATTTGCAATCAGAGTACCTAGGTTAGAGTCTCAGCTTGTGTTACTTTGTTCAAATAAATCTGGGCATCAATTTCTTCATCTATAAAGTAGAGACAAAAAAAAAAAACTTATACTATCTACATATGCAAAAACATACAGCACTGGACTAGGGAGTCCACAGGATCTGAGCTAGAATCCTGCCTCAGATATTTACCAGCTGTGTGAGCCTGGGCAAGTCATTTAACCTTTCTCAGTCTCAGTCGGCCCAAGAGAAAAACAAGTATAACAATGGTACCTATTTCACAGGGTTTTTATTAGACTTAAATGAGATTTAATACATATGTATGTATATACATGTTCTAGATTATGCACATATGTCATGTATATTTACATATAAATCATATTACTGCAAATATTAAGTTGCTATATAAATGGTAGCAACCATTATATAAGTACATGCAATATATGAGTATATGCTATTGAAAGAGGAGAATTCCATCAACACCAAAATTAATTACAGAATATACTTTAAAATAAATACAAGAGGTGTGAAGAATTTAAATAAGATATTAGCTAGGAGATTACAATATATCAAAAAGATTATACACTATGACCAGGTGGGATTTATACCAGGAATGCAGGATTGGTTCAATAATAGGAAAACTATCAGCATAATTAACCATATCAATAACAAAATCAACAAAAATCATATGATTATCTCTATAGATACAAAGAAAGCTTTTGACAAAATACAACACAGTCATTCCTATTAAAAACAAAAGAAAGCACAGGAATAAATAAAGCTTTCCTTAAATGATAAGCAAAATCATCAGCAAGCATTATCTGTA